TATATATATATATATATATATATATGCAATTAATAACCTGGTTCTTCAATGTTTCTGCCTACTTCCTTGTTTCTATGCTTCTTCTTTGTTTTATGGGATTTCAGTCCTGCTTCAGGAGCCTGATACGAACTGTCCTAGCTGTGCACTTCACACCTGCACTTAAAGTTTCTCATTCCTTTTGAAGGCCACTTCATGTCATCCTACGATTCGTGACAAACTTAGAATAAGTTAATAGTCATCTTTGGCATTAGAAAGTTGCTTCTGCCCTTTACCTGGCTGGTTTCTGGTCATTCCCAGTTTCTCCTGCTTCTCCTTGTTCTTGTGTACTGCTGTCTTAGACATTTTGAACTTGGAAGCAATCTGCTGCTCAGCGTAGCTTCTGCCAGCAGAACCAGGATTAAACCAGGATTTAAAAATGCAGAATTGTTTAATAATATAGAGTGGTCTCTTTTTTTTCCCTGTGGCCGTATGTGTGTGTGTGTGTGTGTGTGTGTTTGTCAGACACTCCTTCGCTTTCAATTGGTTAAACTTGCAAATGTTTTTCCACCTTCTGAATGAATCCAGATTTTTTTTTGAATAACAAGGAAATATGCAACGTGTGCATTCTGATTTACATACTGTATATAATTCTGTGTTCACCCAGAGGCATTCCAGAACATTCTGTTTCATAAAGTATGTGGTCTCACTGTCAGAGGCAGAAAGAGTAATTTTAACAGGGACAGAGAAACAGAAGGCAACCAGACTCACAGAGACCAGGTAATGGCAGATATTGCATTTTGTCACCATTATGCTTTTTAAGTATAGTTGTCCTATATTCTAGTTCTTACACCTGTGATAGCTTCATACATTTCAAACACTTCTATTACTATATATAGAACATTCTTTTTTTGCAGGGAGTTTGGAGTGCTTTGTTACTCTAAAGCAGGAGTGACCAATCTTACCCAGAAAGGCAGGTGTGTATGCAGGCTTTCACTGCACCTCCCTAATTACATTATTAATTAGAGGACTGATTGGCTGAAGAGTCCTCACACCTGAGTTTGACCAGTTGACCTAAAGGTTTCCCAAAAACCTGCAGACACACTGGCCTTTTGGGGAATAGATTGGCCACCCTGCTCTAAATGTTATATTCACTGCAAAAAAAAACTCTTTGGTAAATTCAAGTACATTATATATTAATTATTTTTCATCGTATTTCTAATGTGACTCTAGAGTACTATAAGGTGGAGCAGAGTGAAACAATGCAACTGCTGACTGAGAAAAACAACAAGGACAGAACATAGCTTTTGGCAGAATATGGAAGGTTTGCTGCTGGGTGGTTTTAATAGAGTTATGTGGAGTAATGGTTTCAGCTGAATGCATCACAACCAGAGTTAAGCATGAGAGAAGATGGTCATGGTGTGGGAGCCTTTTCAGCTGCTCTTACTGCTGGTTCACTGTGAAAAGTCAGTTAATGGTCATGAGAATTAATGCGCAATACAATATTACAGAATGATTTGCTTTCCACAACTGAAAATGAGGAATGCTCTAATAGTCCACGTAATTTCCCCATGGGGAGCAATAAAAGTATCATCATTCAGCTGTATGTCTCTGTGTTTGAGTGACTGAGACTGCTTTTGGACCTGTCTATGTGTATGGGTGTCTGACTGAAACTGCTTATGGACCTGTCTCTGTGTATGAGAAAGAACAGGTTTAGTCTTGGTTTTCTAGATGTCTATACAACTTTTATTGTCCTTATACTTGCAGCTACATTTCTTTTAAACTATGCAAATGTTTTCATATTCTTAAATGTTTTGGCGGCTAATTCCGTATTGTAGTTTGGGATTTGAAAGGGAGTCCCTATACAAATAGCTTTGCATAATGTGTCTGTGTGCATGTGATCAAATGCATATGAAATGATCAGTATCATAATCCATGTTTTCTGCAGCCCATTGGATTAGCATGATGGGTTGTAATGTGATTCTTCTGCTGAAATGTCTACTGATTTCAGGTCAGTTTCTGTCATATGGCACTTGAGATATTTCTCATAAGAGCACAACAAATTTACATATTGACCAAATCTGCCAAAAGCCAGTCATATTATATCGGTATTTCTTTGATTTTTTACAGGACTTTTGTTTTACACTTTTTATACATGCCAGAGACAAATCTACTAAATTTACATTTGGATTCAGACAAATCTGATTATTTACAGTATGTATGTCTTTGATAATAATGTATATCCATCAGCCTGTCAGTTCAAAGATGGACTTACAAAAGCCTTTCCTCATCTTGTCAGATCAGGTTTATATTTTTCTATTTGTGATCATGTGTATTTGTTACTCTCTGCCTGTGTGACCTTTTTACAGAGTTTCACAGTCACTGTTCAAGCCTTTCACATCCATACCATTTTGTAAACATAAACCTGAACTGGACTGACGCCCAGGCTTACTGCAGACAGAACTACACTGACTTGGCTACCATTGACAATATGAAGGAGATGAAAAGACTAATTGAGTCTGTAGGCTCTGATTATACTGGGCAGGCTTGGATAGGACTGAAGAAAGGAACATCATGGAGATGGCATTGGTCCTCAGCAGAAGGAGAGACTGGGTACACCAACTGGGCAGCAGGTCAACCAGACGACTGGGATAATAATGAGTATTGTACTGAATTCAAAGACGATGGTAAATGGAATGATATTTCCTGTTCATCACAGACTGATAAATGGTATTTCTTCTGTTATACTGGTAAGTAACATTAACCAGCTCTTTTTTGACAAATGGAACATGCCTTTGAGAGTACACTATCCAGCCATAACTTACCCCATAGTAGCTTTAACAGATAAAAAGGACTACAGTCTAAATGAGAATACATTCTCTTGTATTGCATGCATATAGGATCTGTCAAAAGGTTGAGTTGAAAAGGCTTTTTGAAATAAGTGTTTGGGTTCTGCTGACATTTCTATAAGACAGCCTCACCAGTTAATGCACATATACGTATAGAGCTTAGGGGAATAAAAAATGGTGAATGGGGCAGGACTGTCACCTGAGTGAGTATAATGGATGTCAATCACACCACCCCATTTAGGCCTAAGAAAAATAACAGTTGTTGTGTATTTAATGGCATCATAATAATAACAATGGAATCAACATTTTCACATGAGCAGTTGGGTTGACTGTTTTATATAAAAAAAAGTATGTTGCTTTTCATTAAAACCATCAGCTAAGCATGTTGGAAGTAAATGATTTCTGGGTAAATGTTGTTTCTTATGCTGTTTACAACAAATCCACAGCTCCCACCTGTAAAGACGGAATAAATGCTACCTGGAACTTCACCTTGATTAACCAAAATATGAATTGGTCTAGTGCTCAGAACTACTGCAGACACAGTTACACAGACCTGGCCACTGTGAGGAATAAAGAAGATAATGACTTGATAAATAAAATGGTTACAAGTGGCACTTTCGCATGGATTGGTCTGTTCAATGACACATGGGAATGGTCAGACCTGTCAAACTCCTCATTCCGTAACTGGAAAATGGGTCAAAAAGATAATAAGAATAACGCATGTGCTTTAGCACAGGTCACCTGGCCTGGGACATGGGATATGACACCATGTGATGAAAAGCATCCATTCATATGCTATGATGGTGAGTAATGTTACTTTTCTGGGAGGAGTGGCCGATTCTCATTTTTATATAGAAACTTTACTTAATACTTTAAAAATATACTACACTTCTAGTTAAATGTAGTGTTATAAGTACACATAACACTGCACAGTTGCATCAGAAAGTTATTTTGTCTGCACCGTTTTCTGAATTTCACTCCCTCTACCCTTCTCATAATAAATTCTTTTCTCCAAGTTTCCAAATGTCACATGACTTTCTCCTGAACCCGCTTTCTGACAATCATCTTACCTTCTGCCCCAGATAACCTGATTCTGGTAAATAGTAACATGACCTGGAATGAAGCCCTAAATTACTGCAGAACGCACCATTCAGATCTGGCGTCTGTCCACAATGAGGAGATCCAGTACTGGGTCAGTAGGATGGCTGAGAAGGCCTCCACTGATCATGTCTGGTTGGGGCTGCGCTTCTCCTGCTACCTGAACTTCTGGTTCTGGGTCAGTGCAGAAAATGTCTGCTACCAGAACTGGGCCCCAAACAACATATCCAACAGTAACTTCTGTGGAAACACAGGGGCAGTACAATCTAAAGACCCACATTACTGGGTCAGCCTGCCTGAAACTAAGGAGCTCAACTTCATCTGCACCAAAATTCAGGCTGGTCCAGGAAGACAGTACCTGCAGGAATTGTCAAATTGTATAAATGTGTAACGTTTTTGCTTCCTCTGTTTCTGCTGTAGAATTAGAGTTGAAACCCCTGCTCTTGATCTCCAGCACTCCAGATTCAGAATCATATATGATTAGAAGAATTAGAATTTAGTGATTAATTATCATTGTTGACACACCACAGCACCACAAGAAAATGTGTTCTCCGCATTTAACCCATATGTGACATAGCAGGGGGCAGCTAATTCAGCTAATACATGCCTGGGGACAGCACCTTGCTCAGGGTGCCTCAGTAGTGCCTTGCTGGTTGGGGATTTGAGCCTGCAGTCTTCCAATTACAAGTACACGTCCCTAACCATTAAGACACCAATGCACATCTGAACAGTGGTGTCAGACAATGGGTAATGTTGCACCTGACAAACCAGGGCCCTGCCTGGATGGGGGNCAAAGATGGATTTGCAAAAGCCTTTACTCATCTTATCAGATCAGGTTTATATTTTTCTATTTGCGATCATGTGTATTTGTTTCTCTCTGCCTGTGTGACTTTTTTTACAGAGTTTCACAGCCACTGTTCATGCCGTTCACATCAGTACCATTTTGTAAACATAAACCTGACCTGGACTGACGCCCAGGCTTACTGCAGAAAGAACTACACTGACTTGGCTACCATTGACAATATGGATGAAATGAAAAGACTAACTGAGTCTGTAGGCACTGGTTATACTGGAGAGGCTTGGATCGGACTGAAGAATGGAACATTGTGGAGGTGGCATTGGTCCTCAGCAGAAGGAGACACTGGGTACATCAACTGGTATAGTGGTCAACCAGACAACTACGGTAATAATGAGCATTGTACTAATTTCAAAGACAATGGTGCATGGAATGATCTTCCCTGTTCATCGACTCAGCTGTCGTATTTCTTCTGCTATACTGGTGAGTAACATTAACCAGCTCTTTTTTGATAAATGGAACATGCCTTTGAGAGTTTACTATCCAGCCATGACTTACCCCATAGTAGCTTTGACAGGTAAAAAGGACTACAGCCTAAATGAGAATACATTCTCTTTTATTGCATGCATATAGGATCTGTCAAAAGGTTGAGTTGAAAAGGCTTTTTGAAATAAGTGTTTGGGTTCTGCCGACATTTCTATAAGACAGCCACACAAGTAAATGCACATATACGTATAGAGCTTAGGGGAATTAAAAATGGTGAATGGGCCAGGACTGTCACCTGAGTGAGTATGATGGATGTCAATCACACCACCCCATTTAGGCCTAAATAACAGTTGTTGTGTATTTAATGGCATCATAATAATAATAATAATGGAATCAACATTTTCACATGAGCAGTTCGGTTGACTGTTTTATATAAAAAAAGTATGTTGCTTTTCATTAAAACTATCAGCTAAGCATGTTGGAAGTAAATGTTTTCTGGGTAAATGATGTTTCTTATGCTGTTTACAACAAATCCACAGCTCCCACCTGTAAAGATGGAATAAATGCTACCTGGAACTTCACCTTGATTTTCAAGAAAGACATTAATTGGTTTTATGCTCAGAGCTACTGCAGACACAGTTACACAGACCTGGCCACTGTGAGGAATGAAGAAGATAATGAATTGTTACATAAAATGGTTACAAGTGGCACTTTCGCATGGATTGGCCTGTTCCAGGACACATGGGGATGGTCAGACCTGTCAAACTCCTCATTCCGTAACTGGAAAATGGGTCAAAATGATAGTGTGGGTACTGCATGTGCTTTAGCACAGGTCACCTGGCCTGGGACATGGGATATGACACCATGTGATGAAAAGCATCCATTCATATGCTATGATGGTGAGTAATGTAACTTTACTACAGTGGCTGATTCTCACTTTTGTCTAACAGCATTAATTTATATTACTTTAAAAATATACTACACCTAAAGTTATAATTAGTGTTATAAATACACATAACACTGTTCACTTGCATCAGAAAGCTGTTTTGTCTTCACTGTTTTGTGAATTTCACTCCCTCTACCCTTCTGGTAATAAATTCCTTTCTCCAAATTCCCAGATGTCACATGACTTTCTCCTGAACCCGCTTTCTGACAATCATCTTACCTTCTGCCCCAGATAACCTGATCTTGGTAAATAGTAACACGACCTGGAATGAAGCCCTGAATTACTGCAGAACGTACCATTCGGACCTGGTGTCTGTCCACAATGAGGAGATCCAGTACTGGGTCAGTAGGATGGCTGAGAAGGCCTCCACTGATCATGTCTGGCTGGGGCTGCGCTTCTCCTGCTACCTGAACTTCTGGTTCTGGGTCAGTGCAGAAAATGTCTGCTACCAGAACTGGGCCCCAAACAACATATCCAACAGTAACTTGTGTGGAACCACAGGGGCAGTACAATCTAAAGACCCACATTACTGGGTCAGCCTGCCTGAGACTGAGAAACTTAACTTCATCTGCACCAAAAGTCAGGCTGGTCCAGGAACACAGTACCTGCAGGAATTGTCAAAATGAATTAATGTGTAACTGTGCAGATGAAGTTTTTGCTTCCTCTGTTTCTGCTGTAGAATTAGAGTTGAAACCCCTGCTCTTGCTCTTCAGCACTCCAGATTCAGAATCATATATGATTAGAAGACTGGTTGTGTATTGAATTAGAATTTAGTGATTAATTATCATTGTTGACACACCACAGCACAACAAGAAAATGTGTTCTCCGCATTTAACCCATATGTGACATAGCAGGGGGCAGCTAATTCAGCTAATACATGCTTGGGGACAGCACCTTGCTCAGGGTGCCTCAGTAGTGCCTTGCTGGTCGGGGATTTGAGCCTGCAGTCTTCCAATTACAAGTGCACGTCCCTAACCATTAAGACACCAATACACATCTGAACAGTGGTGTCAGACAATGGGTAATGTTGCACCTGACAAACCAGGGCCCTGCCTGGATGGGGGACCCTGCATAAGCCTTGGAAGTAATTTTAATACTTTCTGTATGACAATAATAAATGTAAATAAATAAAATTTAAATAAATAAATAATAACTTTGCTTATGTACTGGTTCCTGCCTTCACACCCCCCCCTTCTTATTGTCCCTGTCTCCTGCCTCAAAAGAAAATGTAGTTTGATCCTCTGGTGTGCACACCTATCATGTAAATGACATATGCCGTCAGTGGCTTTTGCCAATTCTGAACACAAAATAAGACCAAAACTAAAATCAGAATGTCAGAAGCACAAGGAGAGCAGAGAGCGAGAGGTAAAGTTAAAAGAGGCCAAACAACTACTGACAAGTTTCTTTCAGAAAACAGAGTCTAAAGTGCCAAACAGAAAATACGCTGCAGTAACACTAGTTACTGTAGCTTGTGGTGTGGTGGGGGGAAAAGGGGGGCCCCTGGCACACTAAATATTCCATCCATCCTCCAACCACCTACCCTGGTCGAGGGATGGGGCTGGAGCCTTTCCCAGGCAGCTCAGGGTTGGAGTACACCCTGGACTGGATGCCAGTCCATAATTGTTCACAAAGGTTAAATCATTAGCATTTAGACAGAGCTGTTCTATACCGAACCAGTAAATATTGTTCCACTAGGATTCTGGAATCTCTCACACCTGGTTACACTGCATCACACTCAGCCTTTCAGTGACCTTTAATGGAGAGACATTCAGCTTGCTCATATTATGATTGAGACAGGAATAAGAAAGGGGGTAAGAAAGGTGGTTTGAGTCACTGTTACCATTACAAACACAGCAAAAACCATGGTGGGGGCTTTGGATCACTTGTAGATGCTGTCTGAGTGAATCACTGGTACTCAAACGAGCAAATCTGGGCATGGATTAAAAGAAAACTAAATCTTTGGTAAGAACTCCACATGCATGAGAGAGGACCAGAAGGGTTTCAGGACAGATATTATTCCCCTTCAGAATGGGTAAGAACAGACTGACTTATGCCATTATACTCAATACTGAAATTTGAGGTGCCTGAGTTTTCCATTTTTTTGTATTTTCAAATGATCAACTTCTTGGTTAGCTTACACTGAACAAATGTTTTTCAAAAATAATTATAAATTGAAGGATCTGTCATGCCTTGGCAGCTGAAAGTTTGTTATGTAACTGCGAGCAACTCTAGGTCTGGGGGACGGAGAGGGTCCAGGCGGATCAGAGTC